CTCTTCAGTCTTTGGTTCCAGTTTCTTGTTAAACATTTATACAAACCTGCACAGTGAAAAAAAAAAAGTGCAACAAAAGTTCAGCAGACCCAATCATACATATGGATTAAAATGAGTAAACAATGCAACAGATCGTAAATCCAGGATTTGCATTAAGTCTCCGGTCTCCAAAATGCTGAACAGTCTCTGTGACGAACAGAAATCCCTCGACAAAGCAAGCCTTTGAAAATAAAAAAAACATGGGCGCTCTGGTCCGGATGTTTCAAAGGAGAAATAAACCAGCTTCGATCACTTTGTGCGTCCTGGTGTGAAGTTATGCAAAACCTACTGACTTTTGCCCAGAGTTTACATCCTCTACTGGTGCGTTGCCAGTTTCTGTGTCTGCTCCTCTAAGGGTATGCACTGAAGCATCAAAGCAGCAGTTTCCACATCGCTGACATGCATTCAGTCTCGTGAGTAAATGATGCTCTAAACGTAACAATCGTTGTCTGGAAGGAAGCTGCTGAGAGTGAGATTGTCTCCCCCTTCGTCGTCACTGTCTCCACCTCCAGGCAACACCAGGACTCCGTTGGACACTGGGTTTCGCTGTCTCCTGTAGGTGTAGGTCTTCTCCGGCAGCAGAGCAGAGATGCACATCAGCTCCGTCGCCGACTGAGTCTTCTTCACTTTATAATTCCTGGTCGACAGCTTGGCGCAGAGGACGGTGGTAGAAACCATGAAGACGGTGGCCAGTGTTGCCAGTGTGGCGATGATGATGAGGCATTGGTTCGCCATGCTCCGAGTGGAGCAGGGCTGAGTCGTCTGGTTGTACGGGGAGTTATTGGTTGGTTTGTAGGGAGTGACTGTAGCTGCTGGAGCTGATCTGGTTGTTGGACCTGACAACCATTTTGGACTTAGAGGAAACGGGCTTCCTGCAGGACTGGTAGAGTTCCCAGTGGTTGAACTTGTATTAGAGGGTTCGGCTGTGGAGCTGAGGGTACTTGAGTTAGAAACTGACTTGTGTGTGGACGAGAGCTCAGTGCTGGAGGAAGGAAAAGTCTCTGCTTTCCTTGAAGTCGGACTTGACGATGTAGGAAGCCTGACGTTTTGACTGAAGTTCGAAACATTCTGAGTATTCAAGGAGGAGGTGGAAGGTAGCGCCGATGTATTTCCAGTTGTGGATGTGGGTTGGAGCGAAGAAGCTGCCACCATTGCTCCAGAAGCTGAAATCTTGGTGGTAAAACTGGAGGTGGACGATAGACGGAGATGATCTGTTGTATGATTTAATGCGTCCGTCATTGTAAAGTTGAGAGTGGGCACTTCACCTGTAGCTGTTGTCACCGAAGGAGAAGGTTGAACTTGGTCTTTAGCCGTAGTCGCCACGGTTGAAGGCTGCGTTTCAGTCAAAGCCGTGCTTACAGCAGCTGATGGTCCACCTGTTGCTGTGTTCACCGCAGGGGAAGGTTGCGCTTCAGTCGTAGCCGTGGTCACTGACGTCATCGCCACAGTCGCAGTAGCTGAAGGTTGAGCTTCAGTCGTAGCCGTGGTCACGTTAGTGGAAGGATTTGCTTCACCTCTGGTTGAAGTCGCAGCAGGAGCTTCCAGAGCTTCTGTGGAAGCAAGAAGTCCGGAGCTGCTGGTAGCGGCAGCAACAGCCGTCACAACAACCAAATCATCCCTGCTGCTGTCTGAGACGTTAGCTTTCTTACTAACGGTCGTTTCACTCGTTTCGTTTGCCACTATGAGCGAGACGTTCTGAACTGCCGGTGCGGTAGTGCTAACGTCTTCGTGTTTGGGCTCTGGATTCCAAGCTGTAATGTGCAACGCTTTCACGCGAGCGGTGGTTGGCTGCTTGGTTGTGTTGTTCACCTCGATGGCGACATCGCCGCTTTTGGTTTCTGGTATGGAAGTAGCAAACAGAACACACAGTCCCCACAGCAAAGGCACGCTGATCATGCTGCGGAGCATCGTTGCGGCGCGAAGGGTCTGAAATGACAGAACAGGTATGAGTTTACGGTCTGGTTGTACCGACTTGTTGAAAACTGTCAATAATGACATAAACGGGGGATGTCTGCCAGGGTAATCTGTGGAAACAATCTTCACCTCACGCGTTGCTTCATTTTTACTAGAAATAAATTACAGAGCTACTTTAAATGTATATATGCAAAATAAGAGTACTTGTCTTTAAGCAGACTGCGCTTCAACACCGAAATGTTGCAGCTTTGTAAACGTTAATGCTAAAGCTTGGCGTTAAAAGGAGGAAATAATGTAATTACATCATAACATTCAGGTTTGTGTTAAATATTAAATCCAGAACTTTAAGTTTTCTTGAGACATATTTTTCCAGACACTCGTCTTACCTTGCTGTGCTGATGAAGCAGAGATGTATTTGAGGTTCAAATGAATTCAGCTCATTTCAGCCTCCCTGGAAGAACATCCTCGTGCCGCTGACATCTGTCTGTTGCTCTGCTCGACGCAAGAAACAGGAAACGTTCACACTTTTAAGAAAAAGCATGACGTGTATCAAAATTTCAGATCACTCGAAGGCAGAGACACTTCCCTTCGAATCGCACGGCGGCGAATAAACTCGTCTGAACGTTCTGAATCCATACTAAACATTAGCTCTGTCGGATTTTAGGAATAAACGAGTTTATTAATAGAGTTTTTACCTTGCAGGTGTAAGAAAGAGGAGAGCTCTGATTCGTTTGTGTGGAACGTTTTTTGCTTTATTTAAAGCAGCAGGAAGTATTCAGTTCTGTAAAACACTCTGATACTTCTCAAACGATCCCATTTCTGCAACCGATTTAACGCTGCATGGATAAAAAGCAGCAAACGACAAATAGAAAAATATTAACCACAGCGATCAAGAATCATGAGGACAGTTTGATTAAATGTGTAGTAAACGATTGAACTAATTCCAGTTTGAAAAGTCCACACTGAGATGAAGAGATGAGCAGCAGCAGAGGAGACTCAGACTCTGTGGAAACGAGATGTGTGGAAATCAAACTGTCACTTCCTGTGCTGGTGACTCACACAAACATGCGGTTTTAAACAGTCACTGATCCACAATAAAGTTTTTGTTTGTAAGGTTACCATGCTCAGGGGAACGAGTGTTTGGGCCCAGAGTTTGGATTTTACATGCGAGATATATTATAATTTATGTTAAATGTCAACATTAAACAATAAAATGTATTGAAATACTAATATACATTTAAATGCTACATATTTTTTTTTCTCTTTTGGCCAGACAACAAAAAACATCATTTTTGGTTCTAAATTTGTAACATATAAAATTCTGACTAAATAAATCAGTAAAGTTTAACTTGCTAACATTAGTGCCACAGTTATGTACTTATAATGCAAATGAACATTTTAATGTAAATAGAAGTTTTTATATTAATTGCCTGTATTTATATAAAAATATGTTGTCATGGGGAAAAATATAGTCTGGTTTAATTTTAAAGAGAAGCTTCTTCCTTACAACTATATTTACTATTTTAAATGTTATTTCATTGTTGTGACATGAACTTTATCCTTAAACCTGCAGAGTCTGACATGAGACTCTTGGCTTATTTGCTATTTTTCTGATCACTGTACAGTCTGACCTTGGGGTGACTTCACTGGGTCGTCCACTCCGGGAAAAATTGGCAGCGGTCTTAAATTCCACTTGTGAATAACTTTTCTCTCTGTGGAACAATGGGCTCCAATTTGTTTGGAAATGACTCTTGGCAGGTTGATGAGATGCAGCAGTGTCAGTCTTGCTGATGTCTTTCCAATTTGGCATTGTGTTGTTAATGCACACCTGTATCCTCAAGACCACAACATTCTCCTACATTTACAGAGGTGGTTACATTGATGACAAGCGGTTAATCAAGTTGTGACACCCATTCCCTCTTTAGATCTATAAAGTAGAATCAGCTGTTTTAGGGCTTTTATCTGAATAACTTTAAAACCTGGTAAAGATAATTTTTTATTATGCGTTAACCCTAAGAATTCAAGGAGGGCAAACGTTCTTTTCTCTGTAACTGTATGTTGAATTATAGCAGCGCGGAAGAAAAAATATATACTAAAAGCGTCAAACTTTACTGTTAAGATAGAAGTTATCATTCAAAAAAGCCCCTTTATTATTGTTATTACAGTATCACTTTACAATAAGACTCCCCTTATAGATAGCTAATAGTTTATAAATGTTATTAATTCCTCTATAAACACTTTATAAATCATTAATAACTGCTTATTATGCATTAATTAAGGGTGACGAAGACAAAATTGACCAGTTTCTTTCCAAATAGTGAGCCAAATCTGTTCACCTATATATTTAATATAGAGTTGTTATATTAAACATGAAACTGGTCCAGATGAGGTGATTTAACCTTTTTTGTTGTTATCTATTTGGATAATTGAGCTTACAAAACTTTTTACTCCCTTGTAAGCACAATAAGCATTTGTAAACCTTTTTTGTTTTTAGGATTGTAAGTATCTAAATCTAATATTATATCCTAAAAAATAGGTTTACAAATACTTATTGCGCTAAGTTACAAGGTAGTAACTTAGTCTGAAATGTTTAATGTAGCAACTCTATAGATTAAATATTTGGCAAGAAACCGGTCAGTTTTGTCTGTTACCTTTAATTAATGCATAATAAACAATTATTAATATTTATAAAGTGTTTATAGAGGAATTAGTAATGAATATATAAACTATTTATTAGCCATCATAAGGGGAGCTTTATTGTAAAGCTGTATCATTATAATTATATTGGGAATTTGAAATATTCTCAGGTTTTTTTAGATGAAACAAATCAAGTCATAAATTATATTTATATTTTTATTACTGTAATGTTTGTATGTTTATGCTTTTCAGTCTGAACTGTTGCTTTGTGACGTTTCATATCTCGATCAGATGGCAGAAGTGAAAATGTGGACATGTTGACTCACACAAGATCTGAATTTTAAAAAAAAAAGAAAAAAAAAAGTGTTTTTGTTTGTAAAATCTTTATTATGTGCACAGAACTGTTTGTCATGGGTTCAGTGGAACACAAGTGGTCCCTTCCCAACACCTAAATGCACCGGAGGAGGGCAGGTAACTTTAGTTTGACCCTGAACAGTGACGAGAGGCACCACGACATGTTCACAACATTTACACCAGAACGATGTAACCCTCAGGTGGTAAATTAAACCCAAACTGGTCGATTTGAAGCCCGGGACAAAACGTTTGAGGATTTATTCCACATTCGTAAATCTGACTGATGAGCAAACTGGTGGGAAGAAAACAGTTCAACATTTAAAATAAAAAAATCCAGCTCGATTAATATTGTTCTACCAAGTTGTGACTGGAATGTACAACATATGGCGGAGGGAAGAACAAACGTAAAAGCAGTGCTTAAAACGGTACACGATCCATGTTTGGCAACACAATCAGAACAATGGAAATACTGATGCTACAGTTTTTGAACCGTAAAGTACAAACTTCACATAAGAATGTTTGACCACAGCTTGCAAAATAAAACGAGTTAAGACTTAAAATGTCTTTCCTTCATACGAGCTCAGAGTTTTCCTTTACGGTGTGTTTCAGGGCGGAGAGTGAATGAAGAGGGCTGGTGAGCAACGATAAAGTTCATCTTGGAATGTGGGCTCGGTCTCGTCACAGGGATGAAACCGAGCTCGCCGAATCTTCAGAATTTGGCCACGTCTGACTCGGTTACAGCCGGTTGTCTCCCAAACCGGGCCCTGCGTCTCACATCTTGGCAACCTGATCTTCCAGTCTGGCAATCCGACGGTCTTGAAGGATGACACGGTCCCTGAGTGACTTAAACTCTCGGAGTACCTCTTCCAGTTTGTCTTCTATTTTCTGGCAGAAAAACAAAAAACTAAGTTATGTTACTGCTTAAGGTTTAGAAAATGCACAGATAAGATTTTGAGATGACAATTAGTGGCATAGACTGAAAGAAGAAACTACTCATGGGGAAAGCGATCCAACAGGACTCAAGTTGTGTTTTTGTTAATACCATATTTTTCGCTGCATAAGTTGCACCTTTTGCATAAATTTACAAGTCCTTATACACCGAAGCAATTAATATATGTTTTTTCTCCATGTTTATAAACCAATTTTTGGCTGAGATCTTACGATTTAATTCATTCTGACTTGGAAAATATTGAACACTACAATTTTCAGCCACTAGAGGGCCCTTGACGAATTTGGCAAGCCAAGTGTCTCATTAATAGGTAAAAGTGGCTATTAATGAGACACTTAGCTTGCCATACCAAGCAACCTTTGTCTCGCTCCAGAACTCCTGGAGCAAACGTCAAATCAGCTGCATTTTGCCGCACCGCCCAGCCGAAATGCAGCTGATTTGACCATGAAAGTGCATTTATTAAGGAAAAGTTCAACTGCAACACACCTTTACTATAATGTCAAACAAACAAATAATTGTTTTTAAGTGTTAATTTTGTTAAATTCTTGCCATTTGGCAGCCAACCGATTTTTGGCACAACACCGGCCCACGTTTCCAGGTGTTCAGCGGTGACGCATAATAGATGCGACTAATATGGCGAAGCGACTTATTTATGTTTTCTTCCACTTTATTAGACATTTTTGGACTGACGCGACTTGTACGGCGGTAAGTACGGTACCCTCCCTGTTGTAAGACAAAAACAAAAGTAGGTGCTGATTCCAAACTTTCTTAAACAAACATAATTGCTATAAGTAAAGGAAAAAGTCATAAAAAATAAAAGTTTATGAGGTAGTTTCTTCAAAAACACTCACTACTGAGGATTGTGGAGGAGCACGCTTCTGGATAGTGGGGACGCTTTCTGCCTTTGGCGCCGGCTTGCTCTCCAGGATGTTCTTCTTGACCACTTTCAGGTCCCGGTTCTTCGTGGAGACGTATCCATCTTTGAGCGAGATCAGAATGGGGCCTCCGTTCTTGCCTGCGAACCACTCCTCTGCCTCCAGGGCGGGGTCTGGGCCGGCCGTGTCTGGATACAGGTCGTCCTGGAACAGGTCCGACTGGGCACGAGGAACGCGAGAAAGAAGAAAAAGATGAGGTGCGGATACGGGACCGCCATGTGGTGAACACAACCGTGATGCCGGATAAACACGTACCTTACGTGGGACTGTCATGATAATCGGCTCACATTTTCTCTCGTGTAATTTGTAAAACCTACAGAGATGATGAACATGATTCATTATTTGTTCAACCTAAAGCATTTAGCAAAAAAGAAACACAATAAACAGTAAGCCAGAACTAAAAATGTGATTTAAATATACATCAACTTAGGCAATAAATAACGGTGCAGCAAAGATGTAGATACTACACACCTACGGTGGAAATAAATCTATTAATATCAGGTGTTACTTTTTTTTTTAGCTGCTTTGTCTGTTTGACGCAGCTACGATTAAAAGTAAAAAATGACGTGTTGGACTCACAAACAAACTGGATGCTTCAAAACAACAAGACTATTACTTTAAGCTACTTTATTTCTTTAAATTGTGCTTCTACAGGATGTTTATCGATAGGGTCTGTTCATTAGATCATCACCCGCTGCTTCTGCATTTTAGCTTAGCTATTATTATTAAAAACACATTAAGAAAAAGTTTTATTTTTATGATTTTTCCTAATTAAACCCTGAAAAAAGCAAATTGGACAGAAAACTGGAAGCCTGGGAGAAAGCAGTAAATACACAGTGACTTTAAAAAAACAATGTTGTCTCAGTAGTACCTTGCGATTTCACATTTATTGACATCCAGACCTCTCTTGGGCATATAACCCATCCCTCTCTGGGGCTCCTTGGTTGAGAAGGTGTTGAGGTAGTGAACAAACGGGGCCTCTTCAGTGATCTCAAAGTACCGAATGCTGCTGTCACCCTGAAGACACGGTTCGGGTTTTTAATCTAACGTTTGAAAAGAGTAATTCATAATTTGTTTTTTTACAGTTTACCTTTCCACACAGGTAGACTATGTTGGTGTCAGGATCATAAAAGGGCAGCAGAACTCCATTACTGGTGTCCATCTCTTGAACGCATATCGGCTCTTCCATGTTATCCTGCAGACACAAAATTACACATCTGAGTTCAATGAACCTGCAGCTGATTGATGGAGAACTACACCGAAGGAGAGCAGAGAAGAGAAGCCTCTGGGTAAATGTTGCTTTGTATTTATCGCCCCCATCTGGACATGAGAAGGAAAAAGATGCAGGACTCCTTACACATGATGCAAATGTCACGTTTTCAACTTCAGCGATCTGAGACGCTCCTTCACACTTTCCGTATGTTTGTATTTCTGTAGACATTGTCTCAGGGGAATTTTTGACAACTCACCATAGCATGATGTTAAAAATTAAGATTATCTGGGAAGTTCCAGATGGAAAGAGCAACCAACATAAACATTACGACAAAATTTAATTTCCATACAAGTTTAAACACATTTTTCTGGTGAGTCATGACTAGAGCTGTATGTGGTTGTTCTTCCAGATGGATGATGGAAGATCATGTCCAACTATCCTAACATCAAATTTACTATAATTCTGTAGACTTTGTGCTATAATTATTATTACGTATTACCGTATGTTCCACCGTACCTGTTGCACCGCCCTATAAGTCGCATCAGTCCAAATATGTCTAATAAAGTGGAAAAATCCATAAATACGTCGCATCTATTATGCGTCACCGCTGACAACCCAGAAACGTGAGCCGGTGTTGTGCCAAAAATCGATAGGCTGCCAAATGGCGGCCACGGGAGCGTGCACGGAAGGACTTTGACAAGAATTTAACAAGATTAACACTTAAAAACAATTATTTGTTTGCTTGAAATTATAGTAAAGGTGTGTCTCAGTTGAACTTTTGCTTAATAAATGCACTTTAATGGTCAAATCAGCTGCATTTCTAAACTCGATACACAGAATTAAACACGTGCACACGATGAGTATCTGTGCAAATTTAACAAGATAACCACCTAAAAACAATTACCTTATTTTCTGGCATATAAGTCGCTCCAGAGTTTGTCGCATCAGTCAAAAAAAGCATCATGAAAAGGAAAAAAAACATATTTAAGTGGCTTCGGCATATAAGTTGCGTTTAATATGCATCACTGCTGATCCCGGGAAATGTGGGCCGGTGTTGTGACAAAAATTGAATGGCGGCGGTGCGCACACGAGGACTCACTGTTGCAGTTCTTTGAAACTTAACAAGATTAACACTTAAAATCAATTATTTGTTTGCTCGAAATTAAAGCAAAGGTGCGTCTCAGTTGAACTTTTTCCTTAATAAATGCACTTTAATGGTCAAATTAGCTGTATTTCACTGGGGCGATGCAGCGAAATGAAGCTGAGCTCCAAGCAGTGAGCAGAACGAAAGTGTGTATATGGCAAGCTGATTGTGTCATTAATAGCTGGTGAAGATTCCCAGTCATCCAGGACATGGTAAATTCAAAAAAGTTCAATAAAAACACAATAAAGTATAATAAATAAAGTCCAGTTGTTTTTATTTTGAACTTTTTTGAATTTGTCATTATAGCCACGCTTACCTATTACGTGATACAACGGCATACCTTACAAATACTACTCTGCTGCCATCAAGTGCCATCAGAAGAAAGTGGTACTGCTCAATTTTTTTTCAGTCAGAATGAATGAAAACGGTCATGTCTCAGCCAAATATTGTTTTATAAATATGGGAAAAAAAATCCATAAATACGTCGCTTCGGCCTACAAGCTGCAGGGCTTGTAAATTATGCAAAAAAAACGCGACTTACAGCCCGAAAAATACGGTATTATTATTAATAAATTCAAATGATCAGCTCATTCAGGAGGTGGGCATTATGACTTTTTGTTTTTGCAACTTGTCTAATTTTCCAAGTATTTAACTTAATTTACAAATAGACATTGAAATATTTTCGGTTTCTTCAAAAATATTGTTTTCTTTGAGATCTGCTTCTGGATACTTTCTTCACTTTTACTACTTCTAGCAAATATTTTTGCTCCTTTTAGCTTTGGTTCTGTTTATTTTAGCTTTAACAACTCCGTTTTAGCTTCTGCAGTAATTTTAGCAGCCTTGGGTTCAGCCAGTGTGTTAAGGGGTGAGTGAAACAAATAGGAGTGACTTACAGATTTCCACAGGGCTAGCTGGCGCTCGCTCATGCGGCTGAACCCAGTGGTGAAAATGTTTCCATCTGCTAAAAAGATTGCTCTCATTGGTCGAGCTCCCTCGTGGGCTTTGTCCTTCTCCTAAAAACACACACAAACTTTGTCAGAAATGTTTTATTGGTGTCTTGTTTTGTGCTTCTGAGAGAAATATTACATCTGTGAAGCGCTCTAATCAAAACTCGTTACAGCTTTTACTTACCGCCACAATCTTCTTTTTACGAGGGTCGATGACGCGGACCTTTTTGTCCTTGCAGGCGGTGCACAGCAGGCTGCCGTTGCGACTCCAGCTGACACTAAAGATAACATCGGGGTGCATGTCTTCCAGGTTGATCATGGCCTCTCCCGTCCCCACATTCCAGACGATGATCTGGTTGTCGCACCCTAAAATGGACGCGCACACTTTGAGTGCAACCCCCCCCCACTCCTGTCTGGCTGGGTTTATTTTCAGAGCTTTGCTTCACACGAAACAACAGAAGGCAATCATATAATTGGTCCTATTTTGAGTTTGTTTGTGTGCAGTAACCAGAACGTAGGCTGATGCCTTCTGCAGAAATGTCCCTTCAGGGGTTTAGATGCACAGGAGGTTCCAGCGAAACAGTTACCTGCACTGAGGAGAACGTTGCGAGCGGTCGGATGCCAAGACACAATGCCGACCCTTTTGGAGTGACCCTCCAACGCCACCACAGGCTCTGACAGGGCCGTCTCCAGTCCGTTCTCGGGTATCTGCCAGACCTAGGACAGAAAAAAAAGAAACTACTGAGAGTGAATCCTTTATGGTGGTGGGCGATTAAAAACATACACGTCATCTGCGCCTACAGCCACAGTGAAATACCTCTTACCATGACGGTGCAGTCCTCTGAGCCGCTAGCAATGACTTGATCATTATGAGGACACCACTCGATGTCCAACACCGGGCCTGTGTGTCCACAGACTGTTGGGTACACCTTGTCTATACGGCCGGTCTAAGAGATACAAGAGGATGAAGCAGAGCAATAAACCCTATAAATGGCATCTGATATAGATATGAAAATACAGACTACAGTCGTTCTAATCAGTCTTTTTTCAAACTGCAGGACATTTCACATTACTCTGACCACTGTGGTAAACTCTTAGTTCACTGTCATCACCAAAGCACAAGTGGATTGGACTGTACAATTGTGTATTTTATTAAATTATTGAACCTCTTATTAAATAAACTCTCTGGGATTGTCAGGATGTGCAGCAAAACTGCTGGCATAGTCCTACAGAACCTCACTGACCTACACAAGGAGAGGTCAGTGAACAAGGCCAGGCTGGTTCTGGCAGATCCTGTTCATCCATTCCATGGTGAGTTCAGGTTGCTTCCATCTGGATGCAGGTATCTGCTGCCCAGATGTAGGACAAACAGACTGAAAAATTAATTTATCCCTGTAATGATTGGGTTTTTCAATGAATAGTGATGATTTCTGTTCTATTTTAATGTCTTAATGTCTTGTATAGATGTTTTGTGTGACTACTGACTGAAACAAATTGTCCCATAAAATAAAGCTTTATTGATTCAGTCTGCTCCTGACAATTTTAAACACTTTACACTAAAACAATGCAGAAGGTTAAAGTCCAGTACGGAGGCCCTGAGGTTTAAATAAACAACATTTGAAAAAAAAAACAAAAAAAACAACAAGAACACAACATTTGAAAAAAAAAAAAAAAAACAACAGAATTACATTAACTCAAAGCGGAAGTGGCCAAAGGGGAAGTGGCTAGAATCACATTGGAAAAAAACAAAAAAACAAACAAACAAAAAAAATGGTATCACTTTTGAAAAAAACTGAATGACATTAGAAAAAACTGAATCACATTTGAAAAAACAAAATCATTCAAAAATTATGTCATTTCCATTTTTTCCAATGTAATTCTGTTTTTTCAAATGTAATTCTGTTTGTTCCAATGTAATTCTGTTTTTTCAAATGTAATTCTGTTTGTTCTAATGTGATTCTGTTTTTTCAAATGTAGTTTGTTAATGTGCTTCTGTTTTTTTCAAATGTATTTTTTAAAACGTGATTCCGTTTTTTTTTTTTAAATGTGAGTCCGTTTTTTTATGTGAGTCTGCTTATTCTAATGTGGTATTGTTTTTTCTAATGTGATTCAGTTGTTCTTTTAAACGTGATTCCGTATTTTCAAATGTGATTGAAACCACTTCCGCTTTGGCTTCATGTAATTCTGTTTTTTCAAATATTGTGTTTTTGTTGTGTTTTTTTCAAATGTTGTTCATTTACACCTTAGGGCTACTGTAGTCCAGTCAGTGAGCTTATGATAAATGTTTAAATTAATATTTAATTAACTGTTTATGATGATATAATGAGCTTAATCAATCTTTTAAACATTTTATTTAGGCTCATATTTTTTTTATTTTATAAAAAAAAACTATGCAAATGTTGTTGTTTTTTTTATTTCAGAGATTTTTTAATTAAAAATAGAAGAAAAATAACGTTCACCTAACGCATTAATGCCTCTTTTATATTGTTTTATTTTTTAAGAGCATTGATTGGTTGAGAGAGAAATGGTCTGATATGATGGGATGAGTAGGTTTTCTATCAGCATCATTCAGAGTGAAGTAACTTTAACGTGATGTAAAAAAAAATTCTCACTTTACCAGATTTAAATGTTATTTATTTATTATTTTTACAACCCACATAAACTTTGGGGACCAGCAACAACAGGGCTACACAGAAAAACCGACCTGCAAAATTGATTCACCACATGCTCTGAATTTATGACACTGTTACAAACATTTTTCCTCTGGGTGTCCTTCACAGCTGCAGGATTCAATTTTTAATTAACATGCGTTATTGTTAGACAGTTTTATAGTTTCTTTCACTTTGTTTAATTCCAAACCTAAATTAACCAAATTACTGATAGTTGCTAAAAAAAACTATAAAAATAAAGATAGGATTTTATTTACAGTACCATAGAAGCCAATTCAAAAGATAAATTGAAACAGGCTAGATGGAAAAATCAGAGGATTCTCAGGTTGTGCCAAAAAAAAATAAAATAAAAATCACTAAAGTCAACAGGGTACAGCCTTTGGGGACCATGAGAGCAGTGTGTACAAGGTTTCAAGACAATCCATCAAATATCTGTTCAGATATTCCACTCAGGACAAAAACACCAAATGGACTGAAGCGGTTTAAAATAAAACGATTCTTCAAGTTGCTTCCATGGCTTAAACTACCTTTATCCTCTTCCAGTTTTAAAAATCCTCATTACTTTCTTAAAACTTGCAACACAGAGCTTTAACATTTTAAAGGAAGCACGTTTTAAGTTTCAGATGTAACTGTTTATATGAAATAATAATCATAACAATAGAAATGAATACCGTATTTTTCGGACTATGAGGCGCACTTAAAATCCTTTAATTTTCTCAAGAATCAACAGTGGGTCTTATAATCCGGTGCGCCTTATGAGTTTTACCACAGACATTTGGATGTCGTGTTAGCCCCGTTAGCATGATTAGTCTTACGGCACAATGGATAGACAAAAACTTTGAACTTAAAAAGTCTGTCCTTCATGCACAAGAGTGCAGAATATCCCACACTGCAGCTATAGGAACCTGGAACAAGCCTCCACAAGTGAGACAGCAACGCAGGTGACCAATGCTAATAAATAATATTTAACACTTTTCATTTAATATAAAAGTGCTATGCATATCATATGGCTATATATATCACCAGCTCTTATAGTTGTTACACAATTTGTGTAGCAAATAAGCCTAAATAAGAGGGCTATGTTCTGACAAAAGAAAGTAAATAAAATATCGGTATCGGCCAAATAAGTTTTAACATATCGGATATCGGCCAAAAATCCAATATCATGCATCCCTAATGAAAACAGACCTGTTCATTGATATTACACCTTATAATCCGGTGCGCCTTATAGTCCGAAAAATACAGTAAATGGAAATCACTACATCTTCCCAACAAGTCTTCCTGAAGTCATCATTACAGCTCTAATATTGTCTGTAGCAGTACTATGTGAATATTTACTGTAAATTTGTGTTTTTCTATGTTTATGACTGAAGACTTATGATTTGATCAATAACTCTGTCTGCTAAAATTACAAAATTAAAAAAAGATATTCATAAAGTACCTAATAAACTTATTTTTTCACCCTGCTAGTGAGAGGCTATTTCAGTATTTCAAATGTTATACTTATGTTTTACAAGTTGAAAATAGTCCACCTACATACAAAGGGGGGAAACTGTCTGTTTGTATCTGATCGTACACAAAGCAGATGTGGGACATCGTTACGTTTGTTACCTTGTGTAAAGGAAGGACAAGAAAGGCTCCTCCTCCGCTCGCTTCGATGATGATGGCGACAAACTTGGGGTTGACGGCACAGAAGGAGCTGTCCCACGTGACCCTGGACACACGGATGTCATCGTAACACTGGTCGTTCCTCACAGCCTGGCCGAACACGTGACGGAACTTGCTCTGTCGCACAACTCGCCGCGACATATCTGCGGAGGGGAAACAGAAGCGCAGCAAGTCAGTCATCGTGTTATAGGAAACGCATACATCTAATAATTGGTATCTCTTAGACCCATAATGAGGCTTTAGTGCCAGGGAAGTTTCTCCCCTTTCTGAGAATCCCCCTATTAATTATGACTGTTTTTCCCTTATGCTAAACCAAATCTGCCTGCTGGCAAACACTCGAGGTGGACTGAAAATATGATGCTTTTCTCCTCCATGTCTGTTCTGTAGGTTGTCAGCTTGTAGCAGACTGGTTTTAGTTAAGATGGCTTTTTTTACCCGTCTTGTGTATCAATTAAGAAATTTGAGAGATTAAAAACATATCACCCTGCGCAGCTCTGGCTACATAAAAGCCATTTCAATGCACTTTAGAGGCTTAAACACAGAAATGTACTTTTTCAGTTTAAATGAGACGCAGGACCCAAAAGGCTGCAGACTGTCATAACGGATGTTAAAATGTGAAACTGCTGCATCAGTTCCTGTGAATGCACCACAGATGGCCTGTTACTGCTGCAACATTCTGGAAATGATCTCAAACGTTGATCCACATTTAAGGATCGGATTTCAGCTTGGTGTATCCATCAGCACAGTGCCCCGTTTAATATTTAATTGTCTTAGCTTTAACTTTTAAAAGATGCTTCATTTAGTGAAGACAACCGTTTTCACAGACTACATTTATTACACGTCTATATCAAATTTTGACGGATAAACAGCTAAGATTTTAGAGCAAAATAACTTATTTTGACACCGTGATCACAGTTTTAGTTTTATGCTTTGGAGTGTAGTTCTGCAGAATAAGCAGCTTCTCAGACTGATTGAGGCTGCCAGTAGTTTGCTACAAATTGCACTTTTTTTCCACCCAGCTGAACAGGTTTGTCTTTATATTCAGCCATAACAGTTCTGAAAATGAAAAACACACACCATTGTTAGGATTTTGTACCGAACTTTGATTTGTTTCTATCTTTAAAAGCATCTTTTACAAAGTCTGCAAAAAAACTGACCTAAACTTGCATCAGTGGAACTGTCGGAGTGTAATTTTCATTTAAAAACGTGATTTAATAAAGCGCCATGCAGCATTTATTTTGACAAGACTCCTGTACTTTTAAAAATATTTATATGAGCATCATTTGCCCACATGCGCGTCAAGGAGAGCCTTTTTTAGACTTTATGTCATGACTGTGTGGGTGTGTGCAGCCTGATTGACACTCCTTTAGCTTCCCCACATCAGGTGTCGGAGACAGTGTGTGCCGTTGTGTGCACGTCTATTTTAGGAAACATCTCGTGAACCACTGAATAACCTTTATTGATTATTGCAGGAACTAGTGATTACTGAATATACATCTACATCTGATTAACTTTTGGAGCCAATTCAATTCACAATGGCCGCCACAGCTAATTGACATTAACGAACACAGTCCGTTTTGCAGACATTGAGCTAAAATTTGGTGTAGTAACTAGCTAGGTGTTTTTTTTCCCCAAGATTTTACCATAACCAATACAACTCAGCCATTTCTCATTATAATATGAACATAGTCTAAATCTCTGGCATGAAAGGTGCTGGACATCATGCATTCCTTCAAGGAATGGTAGTCCTTTATTTACTGATTTAATAGCTGCAGACAACTTTACAATAATGCTCTGAGACGTTGACGTGTCACGTTGCTGCAGGGCCGCCTGAACAGCACAAGACGAGGACAGCTGATTAGAACACCCTGTTCTCACATGTGCTCCGTGCAACAGAAACTATCTACATAAATTCACATATAAACATAACTCTATATGCACAAGACGCCTTTTTCTCTCAAATGTTGGTCATAAATGTGTGTATATCTGTTGGGAGCACTTTTCTTTGCTGAGAGGTGTGCCTTAGGCTGACCAGAATAAGACCACTCCAAGCTGTGCAGTTAATGGGTCAGTAAACCAGTCAGTATCTGGTGTGAGCACCATTTGCCTCATGCAGTGCAGCACATCTCCTATAGAGTTGATCAGGATGCTGTGGCCTGTGGGTCCACTTCTCTTCAAGGCTGCGAAGTTGCTGGATGTCAGGATCTGGAGCACGCTGTTGTATACATTGATCCAGAGCATCCCACACATGCTCAGTGGGTGACATGTTCGGTGAGTATGCTGGCCATGCAAGAACTGGAATGTGTTCAGCTTCCAGGAATTGTGTACAGATCCCTGCAACATGGGGCCGTGCATCATCATGCTGCAACATGAGGTGATGGTTGTGGATGAATGGCATAACAATGGGCCTCGGGATCTCGTCATAGTATCTCTGTGCATTCAAAATGCCATCAATATAATGCACCTGCGTTTGTTGTCCATAACATACACCTGCCCAATACGATAACCTCACTGCCACCACGGGTCACTTGTATGACGGTGACTTCAGTAAACCCACATGACACAATACACAGTCTGCCATCTGCCATGTACAGTGAAAGCCAGGCTTCATCCATGAAGAGAACACCTCTCCAAAGTGTCATACACCATTAAATGTCAGCATTTTGCTCACTCAAGTGGGTTACGACGATGGACTGCAGTCAGGTGGAGACCCCGATGAGGACGACGAGCATGCAGACGAGCTTCTCTGAGACGGCTTCTTTGAGCAGATATTCTTTGGTTATGCAAACTGATGGTTGCAGCAGCTGTCCGGGAGGCTGGTGTCAGACGATCTTGGAGGTGAAGATGCTGGATGTGGAGGTCCTGGGCTGGTGTGGCTACATGTAGTCTGCGGCTATGAGGCCAATTGTATGTACCGTCAAATTCTCTGAAATGTCTTTGGAGACGGTTTATTGTAGAGAAATGAACATTTGATTCAAGGGCAACAGCTCTGGTGGACATTCTTGCAGTCAGTATGTCATCTGCATGCTCCCTCAAAACTTACGACATCTGTGGCATTGTGCTATGTGATAAAACTGCACATTTTAGAGTGGCCTTTTATTGTGGTCAGCCTAAGACACACCTGCACAATAACCATGCTGTCTAATCAGTATATTTCTTGATATGCCACAACAGTGAGGTCGATGGATTATCTAAGCAAAGTAGAAATGCTCACTAACACAGATTTACACAAAAGTTATGAACAATATTTGAGATTACATAGAAAAAATATCTCAGATCTTTAAGATCAGCTCATGAAAAGTAGAAGCAAAAACAAATGTTTATATTTTTGTTCAGTGTATCTTCAGAGAAGTCGAGTTACTCACTGAAGTCTTTATTTGGTACCATTATGTTACAGATGCTGCTCTCAGCCTTCAAAGCACAAACATCAGAAAGCATGATGGCTAAAGCAGCAGACACAAAATATCTCCTTCCTGATTGTTTGTCTATATGAGTTTTATTTATTGTAACATTCTCATTCATTTGTTTGCATTTACATTTAATTTTGGTCAAATTATTTTATACTCAGTGTTGTGCACATCTTCAGTACATTGTGTCACATTTGGTAAACTCAAGTGTCAATAAATCATCTTAAATCTCTTTACATTTGTCTGAGCTATGGTTTGTGAAAAGACCCAAATGGCACAGTACAGTGCAAGGATTCATGAGCGAGGAGGACCAAGATCCATAGGGGGAGCTTGATCTAATGTCACTGATCAGTCAGAAATCATGCAGGGGCATGGTTTTGCTGACATCATGGTTGTGTGCAATACTATAACTAAAAAGATCATCTTTTAGGGCAAGACAATGCATCATATAATTAGACAAGCTCCTCAGAAAAGATGTATGAAACAACTGTAGATGTAATTATTAATGGCCTACAACAATAAAATTACAACTCTTCCTAGCCACAATGTTTATTCCAAATAAAAAGATTGATTCTAGTTATTATGAATATCTATAAAGAATTAGTTGGGATGACAATTTAACATAAAATGTAAAACTATGGTACATATATATGGAATGCATAAAACAAAATCTGTTTTGTACCCATCTACAATGTCCATTTTAGAAAGGAAGTACACGTGTACTGGAGCAGATTTGAAGATTTCCCATTCGCGTGAATTGGGCTATAGATTTATCCTAAGAAGAATAATGTTTGAGATATCCAACAGGAAGAAAGGCCTTTGGATTGGGTGGGTGTATCAGAAATAAATTTTAAGTTTAACCAGTCAATGTGAAAAAGTCACTGAAACTTTTAACAGTGTTATCTTAAACTTGACCTTTATTATCACTGTCTCACTGATGGGGATTTTTAAAATAAATGTATCCTAACATGTAATTTGTTTTGGATCATTCAAATTTTATTATTAGGAATTAAATTCAAGTCAATTAAATTATTAATTCTGGGGCTGTGTTTCCAGATGTTACAAATAATTAAAACCCAGTCAACAAATGCTTAATTCTCAAACACAGTCTAAAAAAAACCTTCTAAAACTATGTTTTTGTCTAAAACTGCTATTAAAGATGTCTAAAAACTTTTCAAAGGTGTGGTTAATTATATGCTACATTCACCCGCCATACAGTTTGGTTCATGCGCTCGAGCTGACCGCTAAACAATAGCGAGCGATGCTAATATTATTAGCTAATATTTCCAGAGCCCTTCCTTTTAAAAGGCGCACGACATGAACTATATGACTAAAATAACTTTGTTCAACAGCGAATTTTAAAACGCACATTGTGGGAAAACACCGAGCTTTGACGTTATAAAACTAAGAATGCCAGTTCAAACTTAGCTAGACTAGCTAACGCTAAAAGCCATGGAAGCAGGGGGTGGAGATTTGGTGTTTTGGTGCGCACACCCCAGATGTTACCGCCTGGAAACATTCGAAAAGAAAAGGCTTCTTCGCGTTAAAAGTTGAAGAACCATGCGCGATTTGAATCTTATTTTGTAGGTAGATTTGAAGAGCAGATTTTGCAGCACTGAATGGGGTGTCTTCCTGGAACGGAAGGGGTGCTTGCCTGCACGACACCGGGTAACAGAGGATGGTCCCGTTAACTGACCGATTAGGTTTTACTGAAAAGGGGCGGATTTTTAATCTATTGCACTAGTTATACTATTCAGACATTGATATCATTTTAGTATATATATGCTATTTGGCACAAACTGGGCTAGCGTGCCCCCATTTCCTATTTTTACCTTAGCAGTGCGTTTTGCATCCATCTAAACTGCCGAGGGTTAGCATGCAGCTAACTATTAGCCACCGTGGACCACTGCCAGCTGACGCAAGTGCAGAAATTTCCAACCGAGGTTTTCAGCTGCTCTTCAAGAACCCATCCAGCGGAGCTTACATGGATGCTGCAAACCCGGCAGATCAAATGCAAAGACATCATCCAAGCTTTCTTACCTCCTAAAAAAAATCAGTGCAAGGTTTTTTTTTGTTCCTACGCTCGGGTAGTCAATCTCAACACATGAATCTGGCGGTTAAGGCGCGCCCTTATCCTGCAGGACGTTGTCTCCACGAAAAAAAATAAAATAAAAGTCCAGCTGCAGTATTTTTATTTCCCCTCTGGACTCTTCTAATATGCGACCAGAGCCAATGGTTTAAATCCACTTCCATGTACCAGTTGGCAAACAAAGCATCTCCTGTCCGCTCCTCACCTGCGGAAGACTAGCTACTCTCTATTCTCAATCCCGTTAATAAATTCAGGAGAAAGGCATTGACGACTGGCTACTGCACATGCGCAGAACAAGAGCCAGATTTCATTTTCCCTGTGAACTGAGTGGGGCTAGCCCCCCCCCCCCCCAC